CTCTGCAATTTTTCTTATATTAATATATGAAATTAAATAATACTATATTGTGTATGTACAATTGCACAATGAATTTCTAAATTTTGAACAATAAACTTAAATAAATACTCTATAAACAACATGAAATATCTAATTTTTGTTTGTATACTAAACAACATTATTTGAAGAATGAAGTTAGAACACCTATGCAATGAAACTCTCTTTCGGGGTCCTTTTCCATTCACATGACCAGTTAGATATAAGGAAAACTTCATTTGCATCTTCATTAGTACAAAGCAAAAGAGAAAAGAAAGAATGTCAATGAGCATACAAAATTCACCGAAAACCCTTTCTAGAGAAATATTAAAAACATTATGCTCCACCAGAAACAAGCAATTTTTTTTTTTACCCAAGCAACAAGATTCATTACGCAGTAAAGTAACAGAAAACTTAAGGCATGATTAACAATTATTTTCAGCCACGAAATTATTATTAATCATCACAGATTTATTATTTTGGATAATTCAGGAAAAGGTTGAAATGAAAACAAATGACAACGAATTCTTATATTGAATATCTGAATATACATAATTTAAATGCAATATAAACGAGTGAAACTCAATTTTCTTGGACATTCATTATAAAAACTTAATGTCAACTTCCCCAGGCATTTTACTGTTTTAACAAAGTTATTTTTCAGTAATATTTTTTACTTACATCTCTGTAATGAGGGTTTGAAAATCATATTATGCATTGTGAATTTCACCATTTACTATTTTTGAAGTCATTAATCAAAGTTTAGTCCAATAGAATCTTGTTTTGTGAAACAAAAATTCATTTAAGTATTATCATTCAGCACAATAATTTCCACAGGCCCTTCAAAAAAATAGTTTCATCTTGGCATTTCAATGGCAAGTCATTTTCATTAATTTTCTTTTAACCTTCAACATTTTCAAATAATTTAGTTTTCATTCTTCATTATTTGAAGTCCAGAGTGAACAAGTACACGATCTTCTCAAACGACGAATATAATAAAAAATGCTCAGGTTTTGGCTGCAGTGGAGAAGACCATTTTCTCTGTCATCATCATTTAGGATTAATAGAAATTTCACTTATGTCTTCTATTTTAGAAGGAATAGTAGTAATCTTTTTTTCTTTTCTTATACTACATTTGGTTAGCTCCCAGTAAAGTTCCTTGAAATGAGTTTCCTTTGTATTCAATCATTTCACTTAGGAGTGTCTGAGATTACATAATGTTCTAGTAACAAACAAGATGATTCTTCAAAACTAACTCTTAGAATAAGTAATCTTGGGTTCCTATTTCTAAGAATAACAACTGTTCCTGAATGTGAATTTAGTTTTACAATAACTACTGATGATTACAATATGATTAGGTAATTACAAAAACTGATCACATTCTCAAAAATTCATTACTTAACTCTAAAACATCCCATTAAAAAAAAAACCTTGTCCAACACTGTACATTACAAAGAAAGTTGTTTGGCTTCTCCCTCTAGCGGTCATGAAAGGACTGGCACTGAAATGTCATTTGAATTCCTGCTAATAAACTGTCAAATCTCTTGCCTCTACATTGTTCTTTAAATTATCGTACGAAAATAATATTGTTGCTACAAAATTCCTTTTCACGTTTGATTTTCTTGCACTTCATAGTGGAGCAAAAGTAAATATATTTTGGAACTAGGTGTCTTAATTACAGAGATAGTGAAGTTCTTGAAGATATGACATAATATGATTTATTTCATTATGAAACTTCTCTTTACAGCAAAAAACATTTCAAACAAAACAAAAATGTTTTCCCTCTATAAAAAGAAGTTCCATAATAAAATAAATCATATTAACCTTATCTTGAAGAGGCTCACTGGCTGTAATGAAGATACATACTTCCATTAAATTTGTGCAAACAGTCCGTACAAAATAAAATCTCTACTTGCTGCAAAATGTTTTGAGCAAAAATGTTGACAAAGCACTTATCTTTATGAATAATAAAGTGGAAGAAAATTTGTAGCTCAGATGATAAAAATGTTGAATAATGGCAAACAAGAATTTTTAATTGTAAATCCGTAAGTTAACAATACTGAACCTTCATATGTTTTATGGAGTTCACTAGGCCACATTTTATATCTGGAGTATGACTGTAGTAATAGTTCTTGTTAAACGAATCAATGGGACTATCATGTAGGTACATTACAAGTATTATTTTTAATTTACCATCTGATTTTTGGAACAAATATAAATGACCACTTTCATGAATAATAGGTAATTTACTATTCAGTTCAACTACTGAATAACTATGGTATAGAAATCATAACATTTGTGGGAAATCAAGAAATGTTGCAGGTGTAATGGATATATTTTTGCAACTAAAAAATACATTTACTAACAAATAGTATCAAAACGTTAAACAATTTTTCTCCTCAGAGCATTCTCTGCACACAAAGTAAGGTACATGTGATTAGTATCAGCCAGGACAACTCATAGCATTTACATGACTGGCAGTGGAAACAGATGACTTCAAAGGTAGAATCGTCTCATTGATGCCTTCAGACCTCAAAATTATCAGGTATTAATTTAAACAATAACTGAAAATGTTTATATTTACCTGCCAATTCCTGATCACAAAAAAATGTAATGCACAGAGTTTGCATTTTAATGAGATTTTATTTCTAAAAATTATGGGATTTAGACTAAATTAAACGTTAGCTACACTTTGAGAAAATGAAGTGTAAATAAATGGACAAGTTGTCAATAAGACAGCTAATGTGGAAAAAAAAAATCCTGTAATTTCAACACTTGAATGAAAGTTTTTGTTGGAAACCAAATGTAATACATTTCATTTTTATTTCATTTATAAAAGCTAAGCAATTTCACCATGCCCTTACTGCATGAATAATCCCTTCCTTTTAGAAAACTAGATGAGAATCACACACACGTCTTAGTGACCATTTGATCTATCATTTCTAACCAATAAATTTATTAAATACTTGGCCAAGTGTATGTCAAAATAGCGTAATCTTACAAAAATAATAAGGTTTAATGTCTGTTTGGGGTGTGAGGATTACTTATTACAATTCCATTTTTTTATCCACCTATTTGATAAGAAAGGACTGATATTGTCATATATTGAAATGGCAATTTAATGCCTACATAAGATCATTGCTATTGAAATGCGAGATAGATATAAAAAAAAGAATGATTTTATGGTGCTGTTAATTTCATTATTTATATGTAATGGAACATTCTCCTTCATGAATAATTAAATTCAGATGCAGATTCTAGCATTTTACTTGCTATAGTTACTTGTGCTGCATATAATTCATTTCCACACAAATGATTGGAGTAGTTAATGAAAACTCACTATTACAAACAGGATTTATTACTTGACATAATTGCAATTTATGTTAATTAATATATTTATCATCATTTATGTTGTGAAACTAATTACTGGTACAAATGGGTTTAATATCTTTTTGATTTACACAAATATTGCTTTCTGAAGCCAAGAATGTAAACCCTAGTAACAAAAAGTGACATTCACATGCTTCCTGTGTAAATTTCTTTTATCTCGTTCATTTTGCATTTGGCGGTATTGGTGAGCATATTGGGTATATTTGAGGTAGGGAATTATGCAAATCATATTTCATATCTTTCTTTACATGTAATGGTGTTTTGATAAATGACTTTTATTTTTGAAATGCATTAGAATTTTACATTTATTCAATAATATTTGTTCAATCAATATTTATTGATTGCTGATGTTCAACACGTATGTAAAAACAATCCAGAGATTACTATTGATTATTGCCAAATTTTAATTCAGTTAACAAAAACATTATTTAATATAAATTAATAATGTGTGTTTTCTACTTATGAAAGTATGTTTCAGAAAAAGAAATGGCTGGTCAACAGGAACTTAATTGTTTGGTAAAGGGTGGTATGATGCTCCTTCCTTCCCTTTAATTTTTCTTGTGTTGCAATTCAAAACGTAAAACTTTAAAAAATTACACTTACATGTTTTCACATTTTGTAATTAATGTACAACTCTTAAATCCTATTAATTGTGGATTAAAAAGAAGATCGATTTGAAATTAAGGATTTTTGTTGTTGTTTTGTCATTAAAAGTAACATTTTCATTTAACATTCAAATTAAAGTGATAAAATAAGCTATTAGAAGAGAAGAAAACTGCAGCTGGCAAACATTTAGTCCACTCTTTATTACAAAGTAATTTTTTTTTGGTTTGTTTTTGTAAGTGCTGGCTGGGTTGCTTCCAGTCTTCTAAGAAATGTCCTATTTCAAAAGAGTCCACTTGTTCATTTTTGGGCCATTCATTATGTTTAATTTATATAAAATATGAAATATTACCTCAATTTAATGATTATATCAAAAGAAAGTCCAGATATGAACAGCTGTTGTGACAGATGAGTAAACACAAATAAATACTATGAAAAATTACAACTTTTCTCCTTTTTTTTAAAGACAGTTGCTACAAATAATGAAGTTTAAACAAAAATTGTTCAAGTCCATAATAAAACAAAGATTTGGAACACTCTAACATTTTATACATAAGAAAATGTGTGAAATAAGGCATCTCACTAGAAACAAAATTGTAATTATCCAGAGGCTACTTATATACGAAGGTCATGCCCTCTCTACATTACCAATTCTAAGTATGACACACTCTTTGCCACAATCTGAGCTAAGAGAGTTTTGAACAATTACTATTGTCCCACAATGTTGTATTGAAAATTAGAAGGCAGAAAGACCTCATCGAAAATGACCTACAATTAAGAGGTTTAAGGATGTATTCAATAAAATTCATAAATAATGTCATTTAAACAGCATTCAGATATTGTTGATTGATATTGATCTAGATATCGTTCTGAAAACATCTAAGAAGATGCGAGAAGAAAATATATTTTGAAAAATCCTCAAATCATATCAAATGTCTGCACCCATAATAGGTTCTGCATACTGTGTATAAGGATAAGTAAAAATATCTTACCTTCGCTTTCTGGTACTGGAACACTGTTCTCTGATGGAGTAATGGAGAGGCCTGAACTACTAGCAGCTGACGCATTAAGATCCGGAGGTAATCTCTGTGGTGTTCTATTAGATATACTTTCATCAGTCTCATGTGGACCTCCTAGAAGATCAATCACACATAGCTTTCAAGAAGATTCATCTCTAGAGCAAAGTTTTGGATAAAATGATAGAAATATGTATACAACGGTTATTTTTTCATTATATTTGCAAGAGAACCCACCCCGAGGAGAGAGAGGAGTTTGCAATGATTGAAATGACACAGCATTTCGTAAAACACCTTCTTCTTTTCCTGCCACAGCATTTTCACCATCTTCTTGGGAACGTGCGTTACTGCATGCCCGATTGTCAAATTCAGATGAAGGTTCTGATTTCACTTGAACTCTGCCAGTATCATTCTCTGGTTCCTCTTGCCCAGTTGTATCCCTGGCATCGTCTTGTTTGTCATTGTCATCACTTACAGCTGCGGGGCTTGGAGCAGGCCTTATCCTTTTGGAAGGAGGAGGAGAGGGTGCAGGTGACGAACGAGTATCTGGAGCACTGACCACTGGGGAAGGCTGAAATAACAAGGATGTCAAGTAATTAGCAAAATTCAAAAACGCAAAATTATCAAATTTAAAAAACTGAAACCTTGTTGCAAGTCATAACAGACTATATATTAAAACTTAGGATTGTTAAAGTCAGAATTGGTTGGCGATGCTGACTGAATCTAACAATAATATCAGGGACAATTTTTGAGTGAAAGAAGTACACAGAGGCAAGAAAATTTCTGACAACAAATTGTACCCATGCCTTCATGCATTCATGGAGTTACTGCTTGCCCAATCCCAAACACCTGACCTACAAATGTGCTAACTTTGATGTGTCAAAAACACTGACATGCGATAGATAGGGTAAGCACCAAATGTTCATCACTCGGCAAATAGCAAGCAACTCATCCACACTACCTGAGATTCGGCAAGCAGTTGCTTGCTACTTGCCGAATAATGAATGTTTGGATAATGTGAAATATTTCAGCAAATGTTGAAACATTTTTAAAAACTACATAACATCCCCCCTTCCCCAAGAAACACTCAATCATACCTTATCAAACCTCCTCTCCTCTCTTTAACATTGTGAAATTTACAGACGTCTCAGATTTCAAAAAACAATGAATATTTCAGACTACCAATATACCAATTACTGGCGAGAGTCATATTTCAGACTGCTAACTAAAGTCCGATTATAGTGCCTGATAGAATTATGGAACCCTTTCTCCTAACTCAAGTTGTCAAGGAATTTTAATTAAACTTTAATAAACTTATTGAGTAAATATATAACTGAAATGTTTGCCAGATTGTTGATTAATATTTCTGATCACAAACTTTGTAGTTCCTTACAGTTCTTAACCAGTAGATACCTCATGAAAAGTGTAAGATGCCTTGAACTCTCTATCATGACAAAACAATCGTGGGTGGATCTTGAAGTTCACTGCATTACAATTGTACACATGTGAGTGCTATCCATTTATTGACCAAAGAAACATTTTCTAACAAAAACATAGCTTTCCAAAATTCTTCTTTTAAGTATTAATTTTACTTAGCAGAGCAATAAGGGTTTCCAAAAAGGGAAGAAATACTGCAGATGTGATTTTTACATTACAATGTTAATAGGCTAAAGAACAGAAATGAATCTACCAACTTTTATAATATTTATTAATTATGAAAAGGCATATGACAAAGTAAACGTGCAGAAATGTGGGAAACACTAATACAGTGGCTAAACCAACCATGTGAGGCTCTGAAAAATGGCTAATGAAAGAGAAGAGTATGCAAAAATTACAGATAGCTCATATGAGATTTCTAAAGTAACTCATGGAATGGCAAGAAGGTAGACAGGGAAATAAGGATATTAGAAAGAAATTGAAAGCTGAAGATATACTAAAAGAAATACAACATTCTGAAGGGCAATGGAAGGATCACTTGAGACTGAAGAACACCAGACTCCCAAAACTGATCTGGATGTACAAACCAGGAGGCACAGAAGGTATAGGAACACTAGGTGGCAAAGCCTAATTTCCGGTTAGTTCACGATGATTTATTAATTTTACTTTCGACTCTCTAACAATTTCCAGAGATATTGGTTAACGTTTTATACATATTTAATGTCATTCATTTCCAAATTTACTGTTAAATGTTATTTTATTTAATTAACTTATAAAAAATCAAAAATTCCTCGGGGAAAAAATCCTAATTTATTTTTCTGTCCATTTATGTGGGAAAGAAAAGATTTAGCTGTAAATCATTAATCTTTCCAAACATCATACAATTTCATTTAAAGTTGGATTTCCCATCATTTTGTCGTTTTGAGAAGATACCCTGTTAATGATGAAAATACATAAAACCATTTCAGTACATTTCAATCAATACAATTATTTGTAGAAGCTTGATTCAAGTCTCTGATTTCTTATAAGAAAGAGATTCGATTCAATAATATTATACTATTCAGTGAAAGATCAACATCAAATATGTAGAAAACTTTGAAGTCAAAGGATATGCAAATAAAAAAAGTTTGTATCTTAATCAGATCCTCCTAGTTTTAAGTTACATGAAAACCTATCCTAATTTCAAGCAGTTTTCACTGACCTTATTCTGATTGTCGGCCATTTTAAAATCAAATATTAAAATTTTTAAAAAAGGTAAGGTAACACAAGAGCATGAATGTAAAAATAAGATAGGAAAATACACTGCCAAAACCTCCATCACGACATGTTATTTGATAAATATGTTGCAAATTTAACAAGTTTTAATGAAGATAATGTATTAATATTTTGAACAAAGGGCAGAACAAAAAGGAATACTTCCTATTGAAATTATTTTTCACGTGAATTGTAATTAACAGTATACAGGTGAGTCACATAACTTTAGCACCTCCTACCATTTTTTAATGGTTGAAGTTATTGCAATGTAGGTTTCACAGATGTACATGTGGGAACAGGGCTAATTGATGTAAGTATTTGTTTCCATTTTATCACTTCTATTTTAGGAGTCATGTGGTAACTGTCTTTTTTTCCAATGGATCTATACATATTTTTTAGTCTATCATCATGAGTGTAAAAAGACGAATCCAATAATACACGTACTCTCATATGTTAGATAAACATTTTTTTTTAGTAATTTTTATATTTTTGCCTGTTGTATTCAACAGATATTTTGAATGAAACAGTCCCACAACCCAAGGTCACGGAGCACTCTACCCGCAAACCCATGCTTGGAGCATTACAACATCCATTAAACAAGAGTTGATAATATCAAAATTACTCAGGAAAAAAAAAAAAATAGTATCTAACGTATGACAATATTTATATCATTGGATTCTTTGTTTTACGCTCATCATGATAGACTAAAAAAATATGTTAGTTTTACTTGGGGAAAAAAACAACAACAAAAACAAACGAGTTATTTTAATATCTTGTAAAATACAAGTGATAAAATGGAAATTAATATATGTAGAAACCAGCCACACTTCTTCATGCACTTCTGTGAAAATCACATTGAAATAACTTAAACCGTTCAAAAATTTGCAGGAAGTGTTAAAGTTATATGGCTCGCCTGTATGTTATGTCATTATTGTTTTAAGGTAATGAACATCACAAACAAATAAAATAATAAATAAATTAAACACAAGAATGCAGAAAAATATCAATTACACTACAGCTGAATAATAATTACTTCTTTCGAGAACTTGGATTTTAAGTAAAAGTGAAGGTTAAAATCTAATTCCACAAAATTATATCAACAACCCAAGAAAAACAGCTGAAGCCAATGAAAAATAAGCTGGTTTTATAATCATAGACATTTAACATGAAACTGGCTGAAGGCTATTATTTGTCACATTTGATATTTCACGTTAACTTTCCTACCTTTTCTGTATGTCGAATACGTCTAACAGGTCCCTGCCGAAATTTCTGATAATGATGAGGTTTTTGGGAAGCCAAAATTTGCCTCTCATCTCTGAAAGAACCCTAAGAAAAAAAACAAACAAACAATAACATCAACATTTGAGAAAGTTTGTAACATGTTTTTATTTAATTTTTCTTACATGAGGTTGTGCTGGACTCGATTGTGGTTCTTGCTCAGTTAGTCCTTTAATTTGTAACAATTCTGCAGTCTTAAGAAAAGTAGCCAGTTCTTCTTGTCTTACATTTACTTCTCCTTGATACATAAAATTCAGCAAATCTGATAACTGTTTGTGGTGAACATCCTGAAAAGAAACAAAAATTGAAAGAAAAAAGTGAACATAATAATTCCCCTATATCAAGCACTAACACATTTTATCAACTTAAAAACCTTAAGTATGACGATTGGATGTTTGCACGGATTTGCCGCAAATATCTGTTTAAAATAAGGCGAACATACAGACAAAACAAGTTTGTGGGCCTGTAATACACGACCTTCAGCTGCAAGTGTAACATCGACTAGTGCATCCTCCTGCAGTAATGCACAGAAGCCGGAACTCATATTAGAATGGAAATTGTTCCATCGCAGCGAAAAATGCTCTAGTTCATTCATCTCTGTTAACAAATCACACAATTATTATAACAGATTCTTAAAATTGCACACTGTGCTATGAACACTGAATCTCGAAGCATAAACTGTGAACATGATTTATTGCAAAACTAAACATTTACTTATTTTAAGGTGGAATTGGTATTATTTGCGAAGAAAGTATAATAAAAACGATTAGCTATTTAATGTTCGGATTATGATCATAACGGTAACAAGAATTCACACAGGATTGCTAGGAGCAAGTGATTCAACTTACTTGTATATTATGCGCCCGATTGTCTCAAAAATGCGGAAGATTAAAAGTTCCGTGCTTGTAAATCGAAAAGGCTATTTATCTTCCCTTAGGTCACATCAATGATCGCACGAAACAATTAAGTTATTGTCTTTAACGTTAGAAGCAGTGAATCGACTGTTTTCAAAAGACGCGCAGAATTTAAGTAAATTCTAGCACAAAACCACGCGTCAACATGAAACCTTGAATGAAATGAGCTTCCTTTTCAGGATTCCGGCGACGAGTCTTCTCAAGATGTTCAAGCCTTCAATGTCTTCGTTTCTGTTTCTTACGCGATCGGTAACGTCGGATCGGTTGGCGGTTGGGTCGCGTCAGATGAGGTTGCCCTACAACCGGCATCCAAACAGAACGAGAGAAAAGCCCTTGAGGCTGGGGACCAATGAGATGTAGCTCTCTTTATGCTCGCGGCATCTTCGAAACGTCATAAAATTTTAATAATTATGGATCATTCTTTCGTGCCTTTGGTTCATCTTATTGTCACATTCGTTTTCCACGGATTTGTAAAACCCTTTCAATCATTGAAGGTTAATATGCATGAAAAATAGTGTAGAGCTTCATAGAAAGGGTATCATTATATGAAAAGTAAATACAAAATATGAGTGATTATATAATTAATACATAATAATTGTTTAGTATATATCATAAAGGTGAAGATCAGAAACTGGCTTTTACTGCTCCTTGCACAAACTCCACAGTCATCTGATGGACTTAACGTTGTTTACAGTTTGACCTCTGATAATATCCAATAAATGCAGCATATATTAAAGCACTGCAAGCATGAAATGCAAAAGAACTAGGGAAGAAAATTCAGAAAACTAGGGAAAGGATGATGCAGAAAAGATAGAGAACAGCATTTAATTTTAAAGTATCTTTGTGAATCTTTGAAATATATGGAAAATATTTTTTTAATTTAAGAGCTACATTTTTAAAACATTCTTTAAACATTTTGGCAATCACAAACTTTGAAGCTTTGTGAAGAGTGATTGTCATACATGTTTAAAATTTATTAATAAATTAATAAAGTGAGGCAAAAACAACTTCACTTACCTGCACACAAAAAATTACAATTAATTTGGGTATTTATACTCACAGAATCCTTAAGAGACTAGATATGAAAAACATATTGTGTACACCTATTCTGGTCATACTTCTTCAGTGCAATTTAACATTAGACATTCTATTTTTTTATCAAATTAATATATTTGACCTTTTAGTATATGGTAATCTACGTTTATTATAATCTATATTCAACAAATGTAACCTTGAAATCTTTAGATTTCAAGGTTACATTTGTAAAACTGTTTGTAAGGTAAAACATTTGTAAAAACATTTGTAAGATCACTTTTGTAAAACAATGAAAGACAATGTTTTTTCCACCCCTTCTTTTACATAACATACAAAATGTTTTGTGAAAGTTTATTAATAGTATGTCAAAAGGTTTTGCAAAATCTCACAAATACAATAGAATAGCTACGTGAGATTACAAACAACTCCATGTTATGAATACTAGACATTATTCCACAAAAACAAAACAACTTTACCCTGGTTATCTCGTGCTAAATATAATAACTATGCAAAATTATCTTAAGTAAGTAACAACAACAAGCTCTTGCTTAATAATTGCATGATTAAATATCATTACTTATACTTCTCCTTCCCAAAATGACCACAACCAGTTGATTTTATATTAGGTCTGTAGCCAATCCCCTATCCTGGGTTACTATCTTCTTCTCATGTTCTCAGGAACTTGTTCTCAGGAACTACCATCATGTGGCCCTTCCAAATATCTCCTATAGATTTTTTCAAGGATGAGGAAGGGCATGCCGTTGCTGCAAAGGTTGCTCCTGTAGGCCCTTTTCATCCAGTTTTTCTTGTTATTATAATTCTTGAAAAGGTACCTCATTGATCCATCATCTGAACTGCTTGATTATTGGAGAGGCAGTAATTATTCTGGTCTGGGAAGAGAGCTGAAAGCTAATACTTAATAGTTAGGAGAGGCCTACTATTCCTTGACACAAACAAATGTGATTGAGGTGAGATTCATACCCATGATCCTTCAAGTTGAGATAATGCCACCAACTCCACAATCTTGAGTGGTTTGGTTGGCATGTGATAGATTGTAATAGTTAAGCAGAAACTAATCAAGTGTGTGTGTGTGTGTGTGTGTGTGTGTGTGAATCCCTAGTAAACATGTAGTATATGTTTATCACTAATAATTAAGAAAGTCGTGAGAAAACATGACTTAAGAGCTTCATTGCTTCTCTGGGGAGAACAGATCTTAAAATTAGGATTGTCAGAGCAATTTATGAACATTATATGTACTGTTGGCTTTAAATAATTAAGTTCATTTATTGAACCAGCCTAAGGGACTTTCAGCATCATCCGAATAGGGTATCCAAAGATTGTGAGTTTTTCTTGTGTAACACAGCGTGTTTTCATTTTCACTAAATAGTTGTTATATGATTGGCATTCTCACATCACTACGTGACCCATCTGAACAAAACCGACTTCATAATCATTTGTTTATCATTCTCACTCACTCCTCATTGCCATCCTACCATCTTTCAAACAGTAGAGGGCAAATGCAAGCCACAAATATAGTCAAGGAAAGGAGAAGACTTACTGGTTCAATCTACTCCCCTACTATGATTATGCTACTCATGACAACACAGTAGCAAAGTATAATTGTAGCAAACAAGTAAAAGATTAAGAATTTTGAAAATTAATAATAATAAAAAATGATTTGTTAAATCTTGCTCTGTACCCCCTATTCCCATAGATAACGTTATCTTCTCCATAACAGATATCAACATTTGATATAAGCCAATTTATGACAATAAAAAATGGAAGTGTTTTGACTTATTTGCCTAAATAAGTATTACTTATGGAAATATAATATTATCCTTTTCAGTTATGTCATTGCATTAAGTTTTGAGAAATGTTACTAATTATTAAAATTAATGCTAAAAAAGCCCTAATGAAGCAGGAATTGGAGTGAGGTTAGTGAATACAGTATCTTTGATAAGAGTTCTATTGGAAAGCCAAATGCACTGAAATATCAGGGAAATATATACTGACCCTGGCCTATTAGATACAAATTGGCAACGAAATAAAAAGTTATTAAATTGTTGGGGTACTTTAAAGTTACGGAAGTTGGTAGCACAGTGGCTTCCCTTGTGCTTGAATGTGTGAAAAGCAGGAGGGTCCCCAGTCCGTTGGGGTTGTCAGTCAGGCCACTAGCAATGTGTGTGCTAGACGATGTTTTAACTTTTGTCTCTCAACTATTTCCCCATGTGTAAGAGTGGTTATGGGATCAGGCGTGTGTTTAAAAGATGAAACGATGGGATTTAGTTGAGTGCTGACGCGAGAAATCCGCGAGTGAAACAGTGCGAAGTGGAAGCGCGAGAAGTGCTCACGTACACGGGTGTGCTTACCGTACCCACGTACACGGGTAAATTGTCATATCGAGTCCTAATAGTTTGAAAGAACTGATTCATCATGGCTGAGCATACAACAATGATCGAGAAATTGGATGGCGCTATTTGTCATGAAGTTACCAAATTAAAATGGCGCTGATGGAATGCGACTTATGGACCGTAGTGGAATCTGGTGAAGATGAAAGTGCGGCCAAAACGCGTCAGTACGTCAAGGCAAGGAAAGACGTACGCAAAAATTGCCCTTGCCGTATGTAATGAGCAGCAGAAGCTCATCTGACTCCTGAAATACGCAAGAGAAGCACGGAAAGAGTTGCAACGGTTGTGTGCACCTCTTGTCAGTAAATTTCGTACTATACAACTCCGTCGTAAGTTGTACTCGCAGGCACTGAATGAATGCAACTCCATGGAATCTCACGTCGGACAATGGAACAAAATGGTGGCCGAACTGGCGAGCGTCGGCAATTCTATTGACGATGGTGACCTCGCTTTGACAATCTTATGTGGATTAACAGAAGAACAAGACCACGTGACCTCGGCGTTGTGGCAATCTACTGCAAGCTGATTTTAATTGTGCAACGATTAAAAGAAGAATCCTAGCAAAGGATGCAAGGCGCCGTAAAAAAGACGAAAATCACTAATCTGCATTATTTTTGAAGAAAAACGTCCCCGCCAACAAGTAGGACAGACGAGACATAATGGCGACAGTGAAGTGGTATTTTTGCAACAAGATGGGTAATTGTGCTAGAGAATGGCCCAAGAAATCCAGGAATAACCCGCCTGCCACTGCAAATACGACCGCATCTTGTGGCTCATTTATCACGACTGGCAATGTATGGATTGTCGACTAAGGGGCAACACATCATATGGCCCCGAACGATCTACATTTCTCGTGCCTCAATCAAAACTGTTGAGCAAGGTAAGACAACGAATGGTACAACTATACCCTTAACTGGAAAAAACAACATACTTGAATCAATAGTTGGAAGTCGCACGAAGTATGGTAAAATGAAAGTGCATGATACACTTCTGGCCGCTAGCATCAGTCATGGAATCTTGTCTGTTAAACAACAGGCGGAGAATGTTAGGGCAGTATTTTTTAACAAAGACGGTTGTTGCAGTTTTTGATAATGAGGGCAATCTCTTGATCCGAACAGAGAATGAAGGTCGTCTATATACCAATGTGAACAACACTGCAGCGAACGTGTTTAATAAGAGTTCGGGAAGATTGGAGTCATTGGACTTATGGCACAGAAGATTTATGCATATCTGTTATCAAGCACCAGATCTTGAAGATGATACATACACAGTCCGTCATTGGGTTGCATTGTGAAGAGACAACGCCGACTTCGTGTGATAATTGCCTTGCTGTTAAAGCTGCACGTCAACCATTTCTCAACCATCCAACAACAAAAGTAAATAACAGTACCTCCCTGGACCTTATCCTTAGAGATCTTATAGTCCCAAAGGATGTTAAATGTTTTGGAGGTAACATATGTTTTGGGTATACTTAATTATGCCAGTCGATAAGTGAACCAAAGAAATGGCTCATGGACCAAAACAATGTAAAATCAGCCTATGTCCATCGTGACCTGAAAGAAACGATATACATGGAGCAACCAGAGGGTTTCACACAAAAAGATGAAGAAAGGTTAGTCTGTAAACTGCAGAAATCATTATATGGTTTAAAACAATGTGGAAGATGCTGTAATGATCACCTCAATTCTAAATTAGAAGAATTTGGTTTTAGACAGCACAAAATTGACCCTTGTGTGTATGAAGTTAACACAGATAGTGGGAAGGCAATACGAGCAGAATGTGTGGACGATATCCTTGCACTGGCAGAAAATCAGACAGTCAAACTGAAGATCAAGACCCTTTTGGAGAGCAGCTTCGAAATTAAACATCTGGGGAAAATGTCATATATGTAGGAGGTGAAAGTCACTGAACATGAGGATGGCAGAGTCGCTGTTTTGCAGGTAGAGTATGTGGAACGACTGCTGCAAAACTTTGACATAGAGAATGCAAGGGACGAAAAAAAACCAATAAAAACAAAAACTGCATTCGTCGATGAGGACGGCGAGGGTAACTCCACTGGCTTCCCTTTCAGAGAACTCATTGGAGGACTCCTATAGCTTGCACAGATGACCCGACCAGACATCTTTGCAGGAGGGAAATTCGGCCAATGTTGCTCAAAGTCGAACCAAACTGCAACTCGGCCAAGAGAATCCTCCGTTACCTGAAGGCCGCTTAAAGCTATGGTGTCTCCTATAGTTCGGTCGGCCAGAAACGTGCCGCATACGTGACGCCGAGAGGGCGAGTTGTGCACTTGACCACTAGAGCGTTAACACGCGCTGATGCTCGCAGATGGTTCCATTGTCTGGAGGAGCACGAAGCAGGGGGCGGTGGCATTCAGCACCCGTGAAGGCAGAGCACGCGACACTCCCACACTGTACATAGGAGGTGCTTTGAGTGAGCGAATTCAGGCCCCAGAACATGTGTGATGAACCGACTGTGCTCGGATAGGACGGTCAAGCAGTCATTGCACATGACAAAAACTATGTTGACAGATCCAGGACAAGCATATTGCAATTAGTCATCACTTTGTGAGAGAGAAGGTCATGTACGGCACAGCAGAATTAAAGTGTGTCAGGAACGACCAAAACATTGCAGACATCACGAAACAACTATGCCAGAGACCACAAATGTAATCGAAGCTTTAGAATTTGCCATGCAAACTGTCCACCAAAAACTTGCGCAAAATGTATGCTTATTAATAATAAAAGATAATTAAGGGGTTATGAATTATTCACAAGGCAAAAACGCAAGAGCAAAACAAAATGGAAATACAAGGTTTCAGGTAGTAACTTACACATATGTATATACACGTTTATGTAATGGAAAATAAACAGTAAACAAAAAGGTCATTAACGATTAAAATAGTCTTAAGAAAAAAATAGCTGATTATTATTGATTTGTGATAGAAAATGGAGTACCAGCCCTGAATATTCATGGCCCCTATGGTATATAATGTGCTCCACGAAAGTCTGTCCGCACTGAGCCAAGTCAGGGCATCCTGTTAAAAATTGCATTTATGTTGGTAGCAACCAGTTCACTTGGAAACAAGTGAAGGGGAAACACATCCAGTGTCTGTTATGATTGTGGTGAGAATGGACTTTTCATTATAAGCTGCAGCTCGTGCTACCAAAATAACTTTCACCAGCAGGACTCTCACCAGCAAGTTGCCACTGCAGAGACTTTCCTGGAACACTGTACTAGAATTGTTATAGGGCCAGTCTGACGTTGGACACGTTTCACTTCTATGAGCTTTCGTACCCCGTTGTTAAACTCAATCGATTTTTATTATTTGTTAATGCATATAATTTATGACCTATTCACAAATTGTGTGCTTTACGTGAAGTGGTGGTTTGTTTGAAAGAACACACTGAATGTATACCATATGTACTTCGTCATTAATATATTGCAAACGAAATTTATTGGTGCCACGTAAAGATCTTCTAGAGGAAAAAATACAATTAAAAGAGTACAAAAATTAGATGAATTTTTCTCACACACAAGATTTTATTAATTGTACTTAATTACAAAAACCCAAACAATTCATTAATTTTTTCAGGAAAAAATTGTTTTGCTCATGTAATAACAATACCATCATGGGATAATTTCTGTGTAAATATAGATGAATAGAAGTGGATGATATTATCCAATTCATTTTTATTTGTGAGTAAAATGTATTTATTTGCACTTAACAACATGTTTACAATAGCTCCAGAATTTTCCCTTGAGTAGATTGGCTTATTTAAAATAACTTATGCACCAAGCATTTTTTTAACAGTGTAACCTGGTACAGAATAGAAGAAGAGAAGTATAACAATTGCCAGAGCAAATATCACCACAGCCTTGAGGATTGCCCACTTATAGTTATGCCACACTATGTAGCGAATTGATTTCAGCGGATTCAAAAACCACATAAATGATGCATCAGGCCGACTGAAACAATAAAATAAATGAATATAGTTTGATAAACATTATTGTTTAATACTAAGGAATCTGTACTTTTCACAAATACTACAATATCTAAATTAGATACAGACAAGTTTGAAAACAATAAAATACAGAAGAAGAGAGATAATAATGAATGGATTTGAAGGGAGAGATGAATATTCACAGAAGTCTGCAAATGGAAAATAGGGAAAATACATTAGATGAAATGTCCAAGGAGCTCAAGTGATAGTGAAGCATTTTTGGAATAAAGTAAAATTACAATTAATTAGTAAAATTAAATGGATTGTATTTAGAAATGAAACTAAAATGTCTAAGAAAACATATATTTCTTTTAGATACAAAATCTGTGAAGAATGGGAAAATCCAAAAGGTAATTTCTTTTGGCGAACTGAATAATTTTAAACTTACTTTGGTTTATCTAAAGGATCTGGCTCATTACGACCCAGACCTGCTGGGTTTTTGTCTGCTTCTTCACGAGTTAGAAGATGAATTTCTGCTTCTACTTTCCCCTGAAACACAACGTATCTTTTAAATTTTCTAAGCAACAAAGTTATCACAATGTTCAAGAATATGCTCCCACAATCTCCCCTCACTTTACATTTTCAGTTATTGTCATGAATTCAAATGAAATTAATACATAGAAACATTGCAACTATTTGATTACATACTGTGAGTTCCATTTCATCGTTGTCTCGTTTTACATAGAATGGCCACCAACCCTTGACTCGCCGCTGCCGAAATATATTCACCAAGGGTACAGATCCATCAGTCTTCAGCATGTCCAATGTGCACAGTCGAGCTGATTTAGCACCCCTTGGAAAACGATTCAAGTCCAGTGTAATAGCACCTAGAGGCATAAAAGTTGACTCAGTTGTTGATAATTCCTTTGCAGACTTAATAGGTGATAATATTTGATTTCTCTAATGAATATATAACAATATAGTGTAGCAAGATATGTGTACATTCCGTGTATCTCAAATAACCGAAGAATAACTATGTATATCAGAGTTCTCTATACTAGATTTATTAGTTACTATTTATATTGTATCATCTAAATGAATGTAATTAACTGTAGGAATGTTATGAATTGTAACTACTATTTCTTGTGACATCTCTGAGTACCTCAGATTTTCTTAAAAAAGTGTGCATATCCATTTGAAATTGTTTTTTTCCAATCGCTCTATTTTAGGTTACAGTAAGTTAGTAAGAAAGAAAGAAACAAGGAAAAGAAGGAAGGAAAGAAAAAAGTAGAGAACAGAGGAGAGAGAAGAGAGGGGAAAGAAGAAAGGAGACGAGGAGGAAGGAGAGGCGGAGAGAAGAGAGGAGAGGAGAGAGAGGAGAGGAGAGGGGAGGAGAGGA